CGGGCTGGATTTACATCAACCTCTACTTTCATCCTGTCGTCCGTCTTCCCTATAAATTTTTTTCTCCTTTTTATACCCTTGCAGAGGGTATTATAATTTCAGTCAGAAGTTTGCAACGCAGTAAAGGAGACATCTCCGACCCTATAAAGTATATATATTCTTGCTCAGCATCACTAGGCGAGTCGATCTAGCCATGTCCGTCTGTCCGTCCGTCTGTCCGTCTGTCCGTCTGTCCGTCCGTTTATATGCAAACTAGTCTCTCAGTTTTAAAGCTATCTGCATGAAACTTTCCCAAAAGTTGTCTTTCTATTGCAGGTAGTATATAAGTCGGAACGAGCCGGATCGGACGACTATAGCATATAGCTCCCATAGGAACAATCGGAAAAATAATTGAAAAAAAATTATAACTTTGCTGTTTTTTAATTTTTTGTTTAGTTCTTCGACATATAGAAATGGTTATATATTTTAGAATTATGGTTTAAATTTCATCAAAATCGGAGGACTATAGCATATAGCCCCCATAGGAACAATCGGAAAAATAATTGAAAAAAAATTATAACTTTGCTGTTTTTTAATTTTTTGTTTTGTTCTTCGACATAAAACAATGGTTAAATATTTCAGAATTATGGTAAAAATTTCATCAAAATCGGACGACTATAGCATATAGCTCCCATAGGAACAATCGGAAAAATAAATGAAAAAAAATTATAACTTTGCTGTTTTTTAATTTTTTGTTTTGTTCTTCGACATAAAGCAATGGTTAAATATTTCAGAATTATGGTTAAAATTTCATCAAAGTCGGACAACTATATCATATAGCTCCCATAGGAACAATCGGAGAAATAAATGAAAAAAAATTATAACTTTTCTGTTTTTTAATTTTTTGTTTAGTTCTTCGACATTTAGTAATGGTTAAATATTTCCAATTTACGGTTTAAGTTTCATCAAAGTCGGACGACTATATCATATAGCTCCCATAGGAACAATAAAAATATATAAAATAACTATCAAATAATTGAGCTGCAAATCATCATAGCTTCAATGTTTTTAAACTTATACGCAAGTAAATTATAATTTTAATGTTTTCAAAAATGTTTAATTCTTGCAATAGCTGCAAGGGTATATGAACTTCGGCTTGCCGAAGTTTGCTTTCTTTCTTGTTTTTCATTAAAACTTGTCAACTGCATATTAGGTGGGGATCCCCGTGCGTGAGGTCCTGCCACTACCATCTTGCCACATTGTTGCCGTGTCAATCCGCCGGAGTTTGTGGCAAGTGTTCGGCTTGAACTTTGCACGCAGCGGCTTTTGTGTGCGTGTGTGAAGAGCTCTCGGGATTTCTTATATTTTTTTTTTGCCGGCCGCCTTTGTGCTACAAGTTGGCAACATTGTGGCCCGGCTTGTTAATCATTTGAATGACAATGTGGCGAGCATGGTCGCTGTCGACGTCATTTGCTCAGAATGGGAAATAATTCACTGCCAACGGCGGCCAGATGAAAATTCCCCCAGAAAAAGGGTTGGAGTAAGTGCGTTTCTTTAAGATATTTTAGCTTTATTCTCCCCTTTGATTACACGCCTCAAAAGTTTCTGCTGCTCGAAATGAGTTTAGCAAGCTCTGTTTTCTGTCAAGTTTACTGATTGTTTCAACTGGCTTATTATACCCTGGAATCTATGGTGTAGACGTATTACAAACTTAAAGCTACCATATTAAAAACTCTTTTAAAAATAAACATTAAAAGTCATACTTTAGATTAGTATGAAACACATAATGCAGTTTTCGCTGCAATGAAGGGGGCACCAAGTATTTTGTAGTCGATACACTGTATTTATCCTTATTTGCTGCTTTTAATGATGCACTTGTCGGTTGCCAAGCAAAACTAGCAAAAGAATGAGAAACACAGCGAGAAGGTGAAATTGCAGATTTATAAGTAAGCCAAAGCTCAAATCGAATCCGCAGCAGCTAGCTGGTCTCATTGGAGCTTGTTGCAGCTCCTCAGCTGTCTTGTTGCCCTCTTGTGCCACTTGTTTGCCATTTGTTCGTTTAGTTTACAATGCAATTAACCCATTTTAAAGTTCCGCCAGTCAACCACAAGGGGCGGGGAGGTCGAGGTGAAGCGGCCAAAACTCCGGGCTGACAAAAGACGCAGCTTTAGCTATTTCTTTTCCCTCGGATTCCGTTTCCGTTCCACTCACCACACCCCCTTTTGCCGCCCGTCAAGTGAAAATCAGTTTCCAGCAAACCAGCAAAAACTAATTACGACTTGCTCTAGCAAACTTGCAGCTGGAAATTGTACCGCAAAGTGCAATTTAGACGAAAGTCGAGGCATCAGCAGGAGGCGAAAGTCGACTCAAGTTGCGTTGCGTTGCTTTGCGACAGAGCGCGAAACATAGCGCGTAAAAATTAAAAAACCGTCGGCGTTCGGACGTGGCAATGTTGTTTTTAAATAATTAAATCCGCTTTATTAGAATATTAAACTTTTATGGCGGCTACCAGGCGACCGCAGTCACCGCAGCGGTCCAACAAAGAGCCCGATAAAATGTTAAAACATTTAGCCAGTGCTCTTTGCAAGGACCAACCGGCCAACCGAAACAGCGAGATCAAATTGCAGGACTTCAGAAATTTGTAGTCGTCCTGCGATGTTGTGTTGGCCGTGTCATAAATAAGGGCAGCAGCGCACAGCATGTGGCACACATATAAAAATCTGTAGGCCAAAGCCCCATAAAACCGATAACCTTGGTCCTCCACAACAGTGGATAACAACAGCAGCTGCACTGAGAATAATCTTATGCTTGTAAATCAATTAAAGTCTCCCTATTCAACAAAGTTTCTTATCAAAATAGTCATCCAAATAAAATAAACAAATTAGAAAAAAATAAATTGCTTTTATTTGAAATTCAATTATTTATCCCTTTTTATTTACTTATGCAAAATCACTGTGGACTTTTAAAAACATAAGTTGAAAACAGGAACAGTAAAAGCGATTTATTTCATTAACCTGGCTAGAATTAAACCATAATATTATTCTAGTACTGGGTTTTTCTGTCAGTGCCCATCTTCTCCGGCTAATGCTCTTCCATCGGTGGCGATGACAACAGCGGCAACCTGGGCTTGTCCTGGGGCGTCTTTTGTTGCCATTTTATGCGCCGTCCTGTTTATTTACGGCTATTTACCGCCTACATGATAAAAGCCTTTTGCTGGAATCATCGCGCATAAAAGGCGGGCTATCCCGGCTATCCTATCCCAGCCCAAGGATCTCCCGGCGAGAGGTAACTTTTTGAGTAATTATATGGCCGGCGCAGATTTGTAGCACCGCCACCTACGCGACCTATTTCGCTTCGAGTCGAGTCGACTGGAGTCGAGTTGGCCCGGGATAGATACAAATATTTTATTGCTCCTCCAGGACATGAGCCGCACATAAGCGCACCACGTGGCATATACTTGATAAAGCGGCACTAGCTGCCCAGGGTAATAATGAAAACGATAGATAATTATGGACAGGGCTCTCCCTCGCTCGCTGCCTTGTGACTTTTAATAGACTTTTCAAGCAGCAACCCAGTGAAAGTGACTCGCCGCCATCGGCTGCATGGGGTTAATCTAAATTTATAACTTAATTTTTTCGCCAGGACTCGCGACCCATTCCACTGACCACGACAGTTTGTTTTTATGGGGTTTGAGCACATCTCTGCTTTATTTTTTTTTCAGCCATAGTTTGCCCTGCACGAAAGCGATAATGAAATAATTTGAACTTTTTAGTTTGCTGATTTTTCTTCGGCTTACCCGAGCTCCTGTATGTGCATAGGAATATGTGTAGCCTGGATAACGCTGAGAACTCATAAAATTATGCAAAACTTTGTCATTAAATATGGCACAAAGGGGCGGGATAATGGTGTAGGGTTTTGCCGCCCTAGGAACAATTTGTTATTTGGCTTTGGACTTTGCTCTTGAAGTGTTGTTTTCCCGACTCGCCATTTTCTCCCTTTTGTCGAAATTTCCATGTGTGCGTGTGTGTGTGTGTGTGTATGTGGTGGGATCAACGCTGAGGGGAAAAATGGTTAAAAAACGGAACTTTTATAATTTAACTTGTGTGCTAATTGCACTTTGTGGGGTAATTTTGCGTGTCAGTGAAGTTTTGCAGACGCATTTCGGTGCATGTGTGTGGGCTTATGGAGCGCATGCACTTGTTCACATCGAGAATAGGATATATGCTTTAATGTTTGCTTTGAGCACCAAAAACATTCCCGAGCACTGCACTTGAGAGTTTGTGGCCCAAAGTTGAAGCGGAGTTTAGTTTAAAGATCGCAAAAAGCCTCTTAGCTTAGTGCTCGTATTTTTAAAACTTCTCTTACATCTGAACTCCCATGCTGCAACTGAAATGAAATAATTGTTTATTTGTTTTTCACATTTCCGTTGCAGATACTCGGGAAAACAATCACTGTACGGCAGACAAACAGTGATAATTAGTTGGTCGTCGCTACAACAAAGAGCTGTGCAATAAAAATTAATTAGAAAATATTTCACATCACACAGCGCAATTTGTCAAGGGAAAGCGCACAAAAGTGCGCAATACATGGGAGCTTGCGGTCCCTCGCTCAATTTCTAATTAGAGAGCTCTTGCACGCAAAAAAGCTCCGAAAATAAACTGGAAAACTGGATATTAAACAAAGCGGCAAAGCGACTATGCAAAGTATGTTGGCGCTTAACCAAATGAAAACTTAAAGCGAACAAAAAACAAAATACAGAAAGGTAGTCCGCAGCTCCAGTAAATTTAATAACAAAGTCAACAAAAAGAGAAGAACTCCGGAACGCAGTAGCTCCACACCATTCGCGCCGAGCGCGGAACAATGAAAATAATTTCGCGTAGCATACGTAGAGGCGCCTTGGCCACGCCCACCGCCCCCGGCATTAGGAAAAGCAGCCAGCGACGCAACCGCGCTCCGCTCAAAATGAATTGCCCCATTCTGATTGTAATTAGCCTCGGATGGCTGCTGCACGCGCACGCCGGAAGCGGCGGGTTCGCCGTCGAGGCCGCCATTTCAAATCGAGGTAAGTGATTCGCCGCCCCGCAGTTCCGACACCCCCTGTACACTGTACAGTGTAGACTGTACTGTACTGTACAGCTACAGCCAGGTACCCCTGGTTCGAGTCACATCTGATTTAGTCCAGCTACAGCTCGAACAATAGCTCTGTGGAGTGAGGCAGTTGCAAAAGGGGCTGCTGCAGTCTCGCTAATACACGGAGAGAAAAATCATAAGTTCTGTAATAACATCGAAGTTTATGGCAATATTTTATCTAAGGCATTTGATCGTAGAATTAATATAGAAATTAATATATCGAATTTAATATATTTATAGTCACTACTATTCAATTATTAACATACTTAAAGTGTTTTTTTATTATTAATAGTCAAAATTTTTTTATTGATAACAATTTCAAATATAGAAGGTTTTTATTTTTAGCCACTTGGTGTTAAATTTGTTTTATTAAAAACTGTTCTCCACATTTTTTCCAAATAGTAAATAACCAATTTATAAAGCATTTGACAGCTTTTTACCAAGTTTTGAGCCTTAAGTTCCGTTACTAGTATTTGTTTTACTAAATTCAACTTAATTTACCATCACGTTTGCCACATAAAAAAGGTTAATCCATTTTCACGGTTCTCGCGATATGTTAAAAATATTCTGGTTCATCGTTGATTTATCTTTTTTAAAATCAAAAGAAATCTAATTTAACCAAATATACCTTTCTGTGTATTTATTTCCACATTGCTTCGCAGTCATTGCTTTTTATTTCGCACAGCACTCAACGCAAGTTGCATTTATGTTTTTACATAATAGAGAGAGCGAGCTTGGGGCAATAACAGCCGGGGCAAAAAGTGCTGGCGGGAACAAAAGAAAAAAATAATGTAAAAAATATAATAAAATACGAGAGCGGTCTTCCACTTCCCCCGTAATCCCTTTTTGCTATTTTAATGCCAATGTAACGCTGCATAAATCCAGGCGCCGGGGTCCTCTAGCACGTTGTGGTGTTTAATGCTGGGTGCGGGCGCGAAAAAATAGAGTAGGAGCTTACCGCTAGATAGTGAATGGAAGGGAAACCGAGGTCATTTGTGGAGTGGTCAGCTGAGCCACTGCCTGAAGCCAGGGGCATGTTTTGCCACCCACTAAGCCGCCGCCAAGCCCCAAGCCACAATTAATAACTTGTTATGGCCGCGGAAACTTAAGCAGTTGCCTCTCTGAATTTAAACGCCGAACTTTCAATTGCAAACTTTCTTCTCACAGCCAACAAAAAATTGGATTAAAATATAGGAACTGTGGAAAACTGACAACATTTCTGCTCAAATAGTTGGCTTATCTGGGACTCCAAGTTCATTGTCTGCTAATTTGCTTTTCTTCTGTTAGGCCATGAAAAACATGATATAAATTGAAAACTCAGGTGCGCCATCAGCCAACTTTAAAGCTAAGCGGAACGACGAAACGGTAAACACGAGGCGTATACGCAACGAACGAAGGGGCAACCGAACGAGCGCACCCATAAAAACAAATTCACCATCCAGGGCTATATTTTCCTTTGGTAACTTTCGCCAACCAATCGATAAATTTAAGAGCACAACATTTGTCTCCATTATCGCAAAAATCCGAAGGCAAACACTGTGCAAAAAATGCGGCTGTGGGGTGCAAAAAAAAAATAAGAAAAATAAACGAAAAACTGCGAAGCGCATAAAAGAGCCATCGATGCGTGGCACCGGGCGCTGCCGGGTTTCGGACTTTTCCAAGGTGGGCGGGGCTTAGAGTGGGTTTTGGAAATAAGAGTAGAGCACATACACCACCCACACCCACCCAAACACACACCCACACAGAGCCACAAAAGGGCGGGCACAATAAAACAGAACAAACCAAAGACAGACCTGTTCTTATCCCAGCAGCATCTGCAATATAGAGTGGAAAAAGGGGCAAAGGCAGTAAAGCTATATCAAAGGTGAGAATGTGCTTTTGTCACTGATCATAAATTTCTTCGTGCGCCAGTTACCTTTAGCGTTGGCTCAACCCTTATGTACGGGCAGATACATACATAAAAATGTGAGTTCAAATCTAAAATTCATATTCTGTATTGAGGATTTGCTGAAATTCTATATAACTAAATATAAAATTAAATAGTAGCTTTAGGCAGTTAGCTTTAACTGAAGAATTTCATTTAACATTTTATAATTTTGTTAAAAAAGAGTACCTTTCTTCGTATATAATTTAAAGGGTTAAATGCTCTTACAAAAAAGAAATCCTAATCGGTTTTGGATTTAACAAAGCTTATTGACACATAAAACTAATCATGTAATTGGAATTCAAATAATGTAAAATGTAATTTTTTTTTAATTAAGTCATAATTAGTGTCAAGTAATAGGCTAAAAAAAAACTTTAAAAAATTACTTAAATTCATGAAGAAAATAGTCTAAAGAGGGTTTTTAAGACCTGTAGTCACGATTTCAAGGGATATGTCTTAATTACGAACTTTTTTCGCCGTGCAGTCAGTGCAAAGAACAAGGCAATAAAACGTAACAATTGACATTGGAACGCACTGAAAAGGGAGCAGAATTTACAAAGGAAAGAGAAAAGGGAAAGGAAAATGCGATGTTGCTGGCTCTGATAGCAGCAAATTGGCGGGACATTCGAGGGAGGGGTGGATGGGAGCGAAGGTTGCATTGCCTTGACAAATGTTTATTGAGTAACACGAGCCATAAACTGCAAGCGGGCAACGATCCACCTCCGCCCGCTGGCCAAAACTTTCAGCTTTGACCCATTTCCATGAGCCAGCAGCCAGCAGCCAGCAGCCATCGTGTCCGCCTCGATTTTCTGGCATCAGTTGCCTGTTTGAGAATGTGGTGCACGTGATGCACTTGAAGGATGCGCAGGGGCTCACATCCAGCATCCAGCAGCTACCATTTTATAAACTGACAACAATTTTTCATAAGACTGCGGGAGCAGCAGGAGCGACAACAGAGCATCATCAGCAGACAGCAGCAAACACAAACAACAGCTGTTTTCCGGCTCGAGGGTGTTTCCGCCCACCGACTATCGCTACTCCCACTCCCACTCCAATTCCCACTCCCAGTTCCACACTCACTAACACTGTATTTTTGCATATCTTGCTGTTTTGTTTGGCATTTTTAGTGATTTCACTTAAATTTTCATAACAAAATATGCACAGTGCGTGCTTGCAGCTCACTTTTGGCTCAGCACAGCAGCTTTGTTTGGCGGCGGGTAAGGGGAAAGCTGGCAACATGTTCTGGCTGTCATATGTTTTTTCAACAGATTTTCCCGCCCCCACCGCCAGCGCTGCTCCCTCTACGGATCTGCTCTCAGCGGCTGAAACCGCATTTTGTATGTTTTTGCAGATGCTTTTGGGAAATTGTTCATAGGGTTAGTTTTTCCCGCCCGCCAATTCGCTGGCTCCATTCCGCATACTCTAAGCCATGTTAGCACAAGGACGGCGGGTCGAACCTGGAAGGGATCGAGCTTGGGGCTGGCAAACGGCCCGACATGGGGAACGTGTTTGTATGCAGTCCTCGCCTCCATTTACTCATCCAGCACTGCGGGAAAAGTCATATGACAGGGTAGTTTGGCTTAGTTATTTGTCATTTCCTGAGTAAATAATCTAAATAAGATAAATCACTTTCGCAGCTATGTCTACATTCTTAAAATCCAATATTTGAAATTCATAGCTGTGATACAAATTGTTTAAAACTACTGTTTAAACCTTTTTTATTATTTAAAATTGTAAAATTTACTTAAGAAAAGGTTTTTGAATCAAAAAAAATAGTTAGGAGGAGAACAAATATTTAAAATAGAATTTTATTCTAAATCTAGACCGATCTGACCTCAATAATCTTGTATTCTATAGCTATAGTATTTTTTCAGTGGATTGTTGCTGTTGCTTCACCGCTCCGACTGTAGTATTATATTTGCGAATCCCTTTTGGGTATGTTCCCAGCAATAAATTTCCATCAGTCGGCGTCGCTGTAGTCGTTGTCGTTTGTGCCAGGCGTCCAGGATTTTTCCGAGCCTCCGTTTCCATTAACTGGCAGTGCCATGTTCCATCCATCCACCATCCAACCCTCCGGTAACTGGGGAAACAAATCTCTGGCTCAGCTGGCGCTTTTGTTGGTCTGTGTTGCGGTTTTTCCGAATTCGTTTTGATTGTTTGTCATATTTCCGTGCATACAATTCATTTTCTATTGCCCAGAAAGCGGCCCGTCTCGATTTGCCTTCCCGACCGGGCCCCTGTGGTGTAGGGCTCAATTACGTGACCAGGACGACCCGTGGCAGCTCTTCTCGCCGGGTTGACAATATTCCAACTAGGCCCACGGTCCACGCTCCTTGGGCCAGATGTACGTCCCCTGTATATATACATATACATTTCTATGTATAGCGTATCAATGAAATATGCTCCACAAATGGGAAGAGTAGAACAAAAAAATGAACGATTCCCCTGGAGAGCCTTGGGCGCATAACTTAAAACAAATACGAATCTGCAAAATATACGAGCGGGCAAATGGAAATTGAAAATATCCTATTACCAGGGGATTGACGCCGACATTGCAACACCGACGACTGTAATTGAAGGCTTCGCTTAACGGAGAGAGCTTAACAGAGAGCTCAGGACTCTCTGTATGCCATATATATATACACAAATTCGAATATTAGCATAGACATTTGCACGCCGTGTCCCCAGGGCGATTGCCATGCGATAATTATGGCAGCCATCCCGAAAAAGACGCAGCGAGAAATCCCCAAGAAATTTATTAATTAGCACCAGGGAGGGAGGGACTAGGGACGCACCGCACCGCACTCATGTTTTGTGACCCTCCTCCTCTTTCAGCCCTATTTCCCCAATTAAAGCCAATTTTGCCATGTTTCTTCAGCTGGGCGGTCGCATTCAAATGTGTTTTCCGTCCTCCAGAGGGGATACATGCTGGTTTCGGGCTTCAATAGGAAGTTGGGGGAGCCAAGGAGCTGGAAGCCGAGTCGGTGGATCGGAATGGGTCTGTAGCATCCACTAATCGCATTATTAACGCGCCGTTAACATTTTGCGACATTGACTTGAACTTTGGAAGTGACTTTCATGGCTAAGGCATGGGGCAAATGTGGTGTGGGCTGGCACGATGTGGATTTGCTTGGCATTCAAAATATGCTTAGAAGACATGGCCAGGGCCAACATTTATATACATAATACCCTTGAAGTTTTCGGCATTTGCCAAATTCCGCTTGAACGAGCTTCCAAGAATGCCCCATGCGCCACGGCAATGCCAAACCCAAATCCAATCCCACGCCAATAACGAGTGTCTTCGGTCCGGCCATAACCATAATAATTAATACCCATTTACCTCCTTTTGCCGGGCTGGAAATCAAGCCATTATCGCCCATCCACTGGCCGGGGCGATAATTACGGCCGCCCATGCACAGATTGTCGGCTGTCCCGAAAATTATGCACTCTGCACTAATGACAGTCCTCGTCCTCGGAGGTGCAATGTTTTTGGGCGGTTGGGCGCATAATGGGTGCACATAAAGTTTTATTGCTATTCTTGTGGAGGGTTCGCGGCGATCAAAGCAGGTGAGCCATTGAAAGTTGCACAGGGAAAAAACAATCAATTTTAAATTGATTACAAAACAGAGAAACATTTGTTTTTTTTTTTAAATATTTAAAAGAAATACGAATTCATTAGTATAGCGATTTAATTATATTTGTACTTGTTTATTATATGATTCTTTAATAACACATTAAATTTATTTTGATAAAGGGATATAAGGCAACCTAAATGTATTCTTTATCAGGAAGAAATATTTAAAAAATGCCTATCAAGGCCATGAGCAAAAGCGCTTTACATAATTGTATCTCTTTGTTATTAAAAGCACATGTTAATAGGATTTTTTTGACATACATTTTTTTAAAGTGCTTTTTCAAGCAATTTATCAACAAAAATGCATACATTTTTTCTCAGTGCGAGTGCGTGCCAAGCAACAATGCCATTGACACTGGGCAGCAGCAACTGGCGGAAAAAAATCGACGAGCAATTTCGCATCCGCCGAAAGCATATATATTTTTCAACGTTTTTAAATAAAATTCCCGAGGATGTGTGGGCGAAAAAATATCAGGCCAAATGACTGTAATTTGCAATGGCAACTCACACACAAAGAGCAGAGAATGAGAAGCGGCGCAGTTTAACACCTGCAGAGTGCTGGTCGGCCTGTGTTTGAGTTGGACCTTTCAATTTAAATACAAACACAAGCACACACACACACACTTCCAGTCGCCGAGTGTGTTTGCACGGACTGTTTGCGGCACGTCACAAAAGCTTCCTGTTGAATTTCCCTTCATTTCCTGGCCAAAGAGATTATTATTTTCATTTCATGCCATGTCCAACGACACAGAAAGCTATATGCATATATACTGTTAAGTATTAAGCAGAGCCATAAGGAGGCGTGGTCTCATTTTCATATTTATGCTGTCGCCCCAAAAACTGTTTACTTACTCGTCGTCATTAACGCTTCATTCGCGGCGGACTTTTAATTTTCAGGGCGACCTGTTAAGGCCACGTCTTTTCGTCCATTCCATTCGATTTCGTTTCTGTTCTCTCCTTTCCCTTGGTGGGGTTATTCCGAATGGCCGTGTATCCCCACATCCGCATCGTTCGGCTTCTTGGGACCTTCGTGTCGTATATTTGCATACTTCCGGTGCGCGCAAAATGATTATCATTATTATTTCTGTTGTTTGCTGTTGTCGTTACCGCGGCCATTACCGTTATTGCAACAGCACTGGCTTCTCGGACGGAGACGGAGACGGAGGTCCTGAAGCTCTGACTCTGAAGTCCTGAAGTTCCGAAAATGGCCGCCAATCGGCGGGCGGAGTAACGTGCGACGGTTATGGCTTATTTGTGCAAATGAGCTGACGTCCATTACACTGTCCGTGGGGAGGCGAAATGCAAATGATTGTTTTGGCGCTGGCTGGCTCAATGTCTGCCACTGTCGCACCACAAGGTCACCGCAGGACCTCCAAGGACACTCACACGTATGTGTGTGTGTGTTTGTGTGCATGCATGACACACACGCATCAATTGCGGCTTAAGGACACGAGTGAAAGTAAGTGATACGGCCTCGCCTGACTTAGTTCACCTGCCATTGTTTAATGGCCAATAAGGACAAGTTTACGAACATATCCTTGTTTGATTCCCCCCCTCCCCCATAAATTGGCACATTTACCTATCGAAATAAAATGGAGCCTGTTATAGCCCCCACTGTTATAGCAAAGTGCAAACTTTCGACCACAAAATGCTAGTCAAGTTTGCACGTTGCGCAAACAAATTCCAACCTGCTTCGGTTTGATTGGCCACCTGCAGTCCGCTCCTTTGCATCGTGGCCCTCAGTTTCGCTTCAAGCCAAAGTCGTAAAACACTTTTGCCTATTTCGCTGAGTTGGCCTTCCCACGATCTCCTCCAGCTGCTCCCGCTGCTCCTGCTGTTGTTTTTAAAGGGCCATTTGTCCGATGCCCGCGGCTATTTACAGCCATTGTACAGACTTGGCGAATTTATCAAGCATGCCGGAGTCGCTCAGTGGGTCACTGGGTATTGCTATGTGCTGGATGCTGGATGCTGGGTTCTAGATGCCGGATACTAGATGCTGCAGCTGACGTTTCCGCCCATTTTTCCTCGCTCTCCCTTTTGGCTTAATTTCAAAACAGTTGCGCTTATATTGGCAGTTATGCTACAAATTTATTGGCATGCTTTGTAAACTGGGTTAGTTGCATATATCTCGCAGCCGCAAGCGGCGAGCCAAACGATTAACGTTGAGTAACCCAAATTGATGTCACCACCCAGCCACCAACCGCCCGCTGGAACATCATTTTTTTCCACTCGGCAAAGTTCCCGTACCGCCGGTTATAGCCCATAAATTCTCATACATTGTCAAGTAATAGCTAAGTCCTGTTTACCCCCGACTGGCAGAAGTTCATAGAGATAAAGAAAAAATGTTGCTTAATTTGGAGAACGTTTTTTGGAACAGATAACCTTAGATTTATGCATTCAGCCCAGCAGCGAGGCTTTTAAAATAGGGATTTTGGTGGTAAAAGAAAGTTAATATAATCATTTACTATCTGAACTTCAATTAAAGAAAATATTTTTATATTGAAAATTCTCAATTAAATACAGTTGAAAGTTATAATATCAAATATTTTAAACAGTTTTTAGTTACAAATGAGCCCTATTTTGTATCACCATAAATTCCGACCCACTGTTTTCCCTCAGTGTTCTTTGAGCGCAAAACTTAAGCTATTCGAAGCTTGTAAACCGGCGACATTGAAAGCGAATTTCTCCGGCAGTGCAACGCCTGACTCGGGTTAATGCGGCGTGCGTGGTGCCTCTCATTTATCGGTCATTAACATAGCCAGCCCACAGACAATGTCGAATTGATAGCACTTGGAGCGGTATCGTTCAGAAGACTGAGGTCCGTCTTGGGCTGCGAATCGCTTTCCGGCACTTCGGCAAGGAGTATTGCAGAATCGAGATCAGGATGAGGCACAACATGGTGGCGTACCTGTACTGCCTGGTGCGGGATCTGTACGCGGAGCACGGGGATCCCCGGGTGGCGCATCTGCCGCTGCTGGGCAACCTGTGGATCGTGCTGGCCATTGTCTTCGTATATGTGGCTTTTGTGCTCCACTACGGACCCCGGTGGATGGAGCACCGCGCTCCCTTCGAGCTGAAGCGGGTCATGCAGGTGTACAACGTGGTGCAGGTGCTGGCCAATGCCACCATTTTCTACTTTGGCCTGATCAACACCTACCTGCAGCCGGGATACAGCTGGACCTGCCAGCCGGTGGATCACCAGGACAGATCGCCGGCCATGATGAAGACGCTGTACGCCTCGTATGCCTACTACATGCTCAAGTACCTGGACCTACTCGATACGGTTAGTGGGGGGTATACATATACATATATAGATGACATATGCCAACTCTACATTCAACGTGCTCTCACAGGTTTTCATAGTGCTGCGCAAGAAGAACTCACAGGTGAGCTTCCTGCATGTCTACCACCACGGCGGCATGGTCTTCGGCGTGTCCATCTTCATGACCTTCCTAGGCGGGTCGCACTGCACGATGCTGGGGGTTATCAACCTGCTGGTGCACACCGTGATGTATGCTTACTACTATGCCGCCTCGCTGGGCGCCGTGAAGAACCTGCTGTGGTGGAAGCAGCGCATTACGCAACTGCAGCTGCTGCAGTTTGGCTACCTCACCTGCCACTTCCTGCTGGTGATCGTGCGGAACCCGTGCCAGTTTCCCGTGTTCATCGCCTTCATCGGCTTCATCCAGAACATCTTCATGTTCTCCATGTTCTTCGACTTCTACTACAAGACCTATGTGCGCAGGCAGCGCAAGTCGGTGAAGCCGCAGCTGAAAGCCAGCTGAGCGGCGACCGAATCCAAGGTTTACGTTCACTCCGCGTCATTTCCATATTAAATTGTGTAATAAGTTGGTCGGTCGCTTATGCAAATAGGCCCCGGTCCAAAACCAAACTGCCTGGTATAAATAAACATTCGGATTGTGTCCCAGCCCCTCTGCCTCACCGCCACCCATACATACATATTACCGCTCAATTCTTTTGCTTTGGTAATCAATTTCAATTTGCCAGCGGCTAAATTTCGAGGCTTCCTAAACTTTCCCCGAAAACTTCTCGGCCGCCTGGGAAAATCGAGAGCCAGCGCAGCGACATGAAGTATTATGAAGTAAGTTGGCCCGGCATATCTTTTATTAAGGGGTTAAATGAAATATCGATGAAGTCGGCACCAGTTATGGCCGCCACGTGGGCCCAGGGCCACGTTTATGTTCCGGCCATGTGTCGCATGCGGCCCAGGGCCACCTTTTAACTTTCTGGCCAATGTTGTTTTTTCTGTCCACGACCAAAGGCAGAGCTAAAGCCAAAGAGTGAAAAAACTCGGCTACCCCAAGTTAAACACATTTGCCTAGAAGGCTGCCTCATGCACGGCTTATTCATATTTTTTCCTCATACTTTGTTTCTGCTTCGTCATTTTTTCTTTGGCAGAAGTTTTACATCTGCTCTCGCTCGCTCCCAAAAAATAGGCAGGGAAAACGCTTTAAAAATGCTTGTAAGCAGGGCGGCAAGTGGAATGCCGCAGGGCAGCGTTTGGGCCTCGTTTAGGCTCGCCCGCACAATATTTTTTCAGTTATGTAAATTTCGGCCCAGTCCGATGATGACGTCTCCCAAACAGCGTCAAACTTTGCTGCTCAGTGGAGCGAGAGCCTTCGATGGCAAATTAAAAGCCAACAAAGCGAAGGTCGCCTTACTTTTGCGGCTGACTCAAATGGAGCTTGTTAAGTGCCAACAGCAGATCACTGCCAGTCGTTTGTCAATCGCTTGCGGCCGGACGACGGAATTCGGCCAACTGTAGTACAAATAATGCCATAAGTATATCACAGACACTGCAATATAATATTGAAAATGAAAGCATTTTTGTTAAATGAAAATACTTTTAAAACGTATAGATAGCAATTGGATGCAGCTTGGCTACTAAATTACTGGTAACTGGTAATTTCAAGACCATGAATTTCCATTTAAGTCAGTTTTTTTTTTGTAGTGTGGCCTGTGTTGTTGTGCGTTTGGGAGGGACATTAAAACTTTTCTAATAACGAACTTCTGCGACTGAAGCCGAGCGTAAACATTCGAGACGGAAGCTGCTTGGCGGATGTTGTTCATGTTCTGCCCGGAACTTGCATATGTCCGGGTTTATATATACAGTGCGTAGGGACTACGACTACAATGTGGCAGCCAGCATCATCATCATTAACATCAGCAGCAGTACCAGCAGTACCAGTAGTACCAGCAGATCATTGCCAAAAAGGGTTCAATGAACTCGCAGTAGCAGCTCCTGCAGGGATATCAATTGGACCAAAAGGATTGCTTACCGAGCATGGCGAACGTGGCGTATGCTTGATGTCTCTCCGTCATTTATGACTCGCAGGGCATTTAAGTGCTGGCCGTAAAACCGTTATGTAAACTACGAGTGCGAGTACGATTGCGATTGCGAGTGCGAGTGTGAGTGTGAGTGCGATTCTTTACGGCCACTCGCAGCAGCATTGCAATGGCTATGGCCGGCCATTACTCAGCATAAAACTTGGCCGGGACCAAAGGACGAAACTCCTTGATTGTGTGCCCATGTCCACAAGCATATCGACTGGGTCACGAGCACACACAGCTGGCCTGGCCATCGAAGTCCTGCGACAATGTTGTAGCCGAATGTAAATAATAAGCACGGGCGCATACATTCCCATTTATTCATGTTGTACAGTGCCTGCGCACAGTTACGACACGTGCTCCAGTGCATTCCAATCAATTTCCCGCGGGTCAAACAACTTGCTACATGAGTTTTCCTTCCTCAAGAGAGCGGAGGTGGAGGTCCGAATAGCCACGGCCCCGGGCAATTATCCACAAACGTAGGCTAATCCTGTTTACCTCGAACATTTAGCCCCGGGGCCAAAAGCTCTTTATAATCCCATGAAAATGAACCCAAATATAAAGCGGCCCAAATCTGGAATCTCTTTCATGTGAGCAGGTAATCAAGTTGGGCCAAAAGGCCACTTTTTGATGCTCCTTTCACCTGTTGCCGTAATGAAGAAATCTAAATTCCATTAAGTTTATGCCCGCTTCCGTTCGCAGTTCAGTGCTCAATGAAAAGCACTTAGAGTGACCTTTTCCACCCCACATCGCCCATCGTTCATCGCCCATCGCACGGCACAGCGACAATAAGCCGAGTTGGTCCCAAAATGGGTCACAACGTTTTGGTGAGCTCAACGTATTTGCCTAATGGAGATTAGCCGGCATTTGGTTTTATTTGAATTCTGGTTGGCAATTTATTGCCGATGCTTATCGATTTTTATCGATGCCAGCCTCGTTCCATGTCTGTGCTCTATGCCGGATACTTGGCGAATCGGCGGTCGCACTTGAGCACTTTGTACGCTTTTATCGCCGTAATTTTTGGTCTAACAAAACAATAAATTCACTGGCTCAGTCTCGAGTGGCAGGTGAATTGCTCGGTGGCAGCTTTGTTGAAATTTGTAATAAATTTACCGCCGAGTGGGTGAACTTATCTGGAGGCCGGGCAATTTTGTTAATTTGTAAGTACACGGCGCTGTAATTAAGCGCGATTTGAAATATGTGACAGGCGGACCACGCATGTGTATAACTCTCGAATAAATCAAAGTAATTAACTGCACGGGCGAACATGCAACAGGTCACGGGGTCACGCGGCACAGTTAATGTGAAAAGTTATCAATATCTGGGTTAACGAAGCGGCGGGCGAATGGCTGCCAGCACTCAGAAAATACAAAGGACTTGCAATTTGAAATAAAACTTTAAAAACTTTATATTATTATACTTTAAAAAAAAACTTAAAATGAATTATTATGAAATTGGTTTAGGTATAAAAGATAAACATGGGTTTACAAAAACGAATGTTTTTCTTCAGAAACAAGTATAATGAATTCTCTAAGCTTTTTTATTTTAAGACATTTTACAAGATTTAAGAAATAACTTTAAAAATATAAAAAGATTATAAAAGTGTCAGTACATTTTTACAGTACATTTTATTGACATTTTTCCAAGTGAAAATGATTTTTGATTCCGTACCGGAAAGCCTTTGCGTGTTCATCCTTTCAATCAACTCAATTAATATTGATGGAGCGATAAAAGAAAAACCAAAAAAACAAACAAGCAGATCTGTCATACGAGCACGTGTAAAAATCAATGCGCAGCTGGTCATTAATAATGCACTGGCAACTAATGCACTGCTAATATCTAAGCTACTGGAATTTCCCGGCCAGCGGGAAACTTTGTGTTTGACTTTGACCAACTTTGTGACGCAACTTGGGAAGAAACTTATGACTTATCAATGACCGAGCAAAGGCCACATCCAGCTCACTTGATTGAACTTTTGGGCTGTCCACAGTTGAAGTCGCAGTGGCAGGACAAACTTTCCGCCAGTATCTTAGCCTCCGGCTCCAGCCACTCGCTCTGTTGCAGTCATAAATCAATACATTTCGATTCCTCTCAGCCGGATGCATTCGACTCGAGTGAAGTGCTCGTGCTCCTGCTCCTACTCCTGCAGAGTAAATAAGCGACAAGGACTTTGCCCAGGACTCGAGCAGTATCAGGCATAAATAAGCATTTGCGTTGCGAAGAGCCAGGGAGCCACTCTTCCCAGAGGCGAATTAACTGAAGAGGCAGTGGAGACTGGCAGGCAGCGAACTCTAATGAGCTGGAAACAAACGCCCTTTCAGATGCACTCTGAGTGACTGGGATCCGAGTAAATCACGTAGCTCTTGCACTCATTAGCCGGCGAAGAAGTGTAACGCTTGTGGCAGGTAAATCGATGGGCAGCGCCATCTGTGAGGCAAAAACCGAAAGTGTCGCCATCTAGTGGTCAGTTGGGTGCCGCGATTGGGGTAAGAATTTTCGGAGACGAAGAGGCAACAGCGTCAATTGTCATGATCCCGGAAAACGGAGAGTTATTCTAGGGGGGGCTAACTTAGCTTCCCGCCCAGAGCCACGAGCTGCTGGCTTTCTTTCCCTTTTCGGCAGCCATCGAGTGCGGTTTAGTTCAATTGTAAGTCTCGTATTTAATAAGTTGGTGAAAGTTTGTTTGAAAATTATATCTCTATAGTGGCCTTGTGTAAAGTGACGGATAGAATTCCCAGATTATATATAGCGCTGAATCCTGTTTATGGGTAAGAAAAAATGAAATGGTTGCGAAGTTTGCAGACCCAAAAGTGATTTTTGATTTAGGTTTGGCGCTTAGTATCCGATATTGGATCCGGCCGTTGCTGTAGAGGGAACAATTCATCAAGTCCCCCTAAAGAAGAGCGAAGTCATCCGACGGAGAAGGGAAATTATCGTCGCATAAAGGGGTCTCAAAGCCTAAGAGTTCCCTAAGATAATTATTTAATCAGCTTAAGTCGCTGGGAGCGGAGTTAGGACTAAGAGAGGGCAAAAGAGTCAAAAAGAACTCGAGATGTAACACCTGCCCAAATTACACATAATATTTATATTCCCTCTTCATCATCTTCGTTATCTCCCGTCTGCGAGCGCAACTTAGCGAAGTTCAGCTTGGCAGGCAGTTTTTCGGCGCGCTGATCTAGTTTAGACGTTTCGGTCCACGCTCGGACAAAAATTTAATTTAACTCGTCGAACAACAATGCGGAATAATTGTTAAGTCGCCGCACGGAATGTAAGGCAGTTCGGAAAGCCAAAGATCGGTCGGAATTCGCTGAAAGTGGATAGTTTATAAGCTATTTCATAAGTTTTTTTCCTTTTTTTTTTTGCGGTCTAGGTTATGTGAAATAAGCAGTGAGAGTGGAAAAGTAAGAAAAAAAAAGAAGGGAAAGAAGAGAAAAGTGCAGTGATGGTTAGAAGGCCAGAAAGGCTTTAATAATGAATAACTAGAAGCACGAATTGCTTTAGGCATAATTTATTTTAATTTTTTTGGGTGGACAAACAAGCCAATGTGTTAAAAAAAAAAAAAGAAGGAAAGAGCTGCAGCAAGAAAAAGAAGAGAAAAATTTTGCTGTTGTTTTGCACAGTGGGCTTGCAATGTGTATATAAAGAAATTTAAATTTTCAGCCTAAGGTGCACTTACGGAAGCGCTTTCGTCGGTGGATCTCCGGAATGTTGGTGAGTCAGATATCACGTTTTATCAATATGTCTTTGTAAAATATATATATCAAATGAATTACTTTGCGTCCCACCGTACAAAACTGAGTAGTTCGAATAATCCATAAAGGAGAAGATAAAAAAAAGGAGCGGATTTACCGTCTCTCTTGTCTCTCAAATTTTTGAGTGAGATGAATTTCGAAATAAGTAAAACAAACCACTCAATTTGAATTCGCCGTGCGCTCTTCACTGCAATTTTCTGCCATTTCCGTATTCTCGCTCTCGAATAATATTTTTTTGGGTTTTATTTCGTATTATATCTTACTGCGAAGGTTAATTTAATAATTCAATTGTATTGCATGTATCTATGTTCTCATTTAATATCTTTTCAATATGTTCTCTAATTTTAAGAATTTTATTTAGGTTTTAAATACATTTTATAATGATTAGCTAAATTGCATTTTTGTTTGCCTTCGACTAGGATGAGTCCCCGCTAGAACCCGAATCAGTAGAAGGGGCCGTTCGATAATATGATGGGAAGTTTTCGGTAAAGAACGGCCAAGGCAGGGAGGGCAAATTTGGTTCCATTAGAACACCCGAGGAACTTTAGGAATTCCATGAGTAAAATAACTATCCCTCTTCGTGCTGGCGCGGATTCACATGATTTCTCCTACCCCATACCACTTGTCGCTGCACGCGAAAATTCGATAAAATTTTAGAATTTACTGGCTCGTGACGAAGGACAAGATCACCACCCCAAATAGCCGACAAGGAGCAGCTGGACCATCGCGCGTGCGTCCTTATCGTCATGCAACAACACCCTAGCCACGTACTCGTTACAGTAATAATAATATAATTCTATTTATCTGGCGCCCAACAGTGTAGGCCGAAAATCAGGGTTTAAGATGTGAAAAAATGAAAAACAAAATTTTACTCTAAGAATCCCGCTCACACAAGAAAAAAAACTTTAATTTTCATCTAGTTGGTAATGCAGTATCACAGTGGGTTGAAAGATGTGTTTACATCCCAGCCACGGTTGCTGCGGTACTCATGCCAAATATCTCGTCTCTAGTCTTACCTTAATTTCGATATTAGGCGCATAGGACATATAGTTGAATATGTTGTACGCAAGCGTTCAACTAGCCACGGCTGATGTTGAAAGTAAGAGTGGGGCAAATCTATTCTATTTACTTTTTTCGGGACCTAAAGCAAGGGTTAATTAGACGCTTGGACATGCAGGTGGTAAACTTATCAATAAGTTTTCACCTGACCACGGATAATGGGCCGGCGCTAAGGACCCATCTATCAAATTTCATGCAATCGCCATCGCGTCTGTCAGGTGCATTGGATAGACAGCCGAAATCTTTAGAAAGAGGTCGACTGGCCACGGTTGACAGCGGAAAACGTAGGCCAGATTGCAAAACAAGAGAGAATTGGAAGAGAACCGATCAGCTCTCTTATAGTTGTTGTTTTAGTGAATCTGAGTTTGGCAATAGTCGAAGGGCTAGCCACGTAGCTCTGCATAGGCAGCAATTATATTATTTTTTTCATCTTCTTTTACTCACGGATTCCGAGTTAAACTGCTGATGAGGGTTTGGCAGGGAGAACTCCTATGTTTGAAGGCAAACTGTTTATATATTTCTATCGTGTTTTTGATTTTTCTTACAATTTTTTTTAAGCTTACTTAATACTTGAACTCTCTCATTTATTTGTTCCTTTCCTCTCATTTCTGACTTAGACCCGAGTTTCTCTTGAGTGATTTTAAAAATTGAGTGTCTTTAAGAATTGAGCGTAGAAAATAAAACAAATCAGCTGGTCCGCTTGTTAAGGTCATTGACCGCAGGTGTAGAAAAAAATAAAAGCAAGGAAGGAATGATTAAATGTTAGGGATTTTAGCCGAATATAATTAGTAACTTTAACTTACTCGTTCATTTAGCTGTAAATTAAAAACATATTTTTAGGATTTTAGGTTTCTTATCTTTCTCATTGGTTGAAGATCAGAAAAAAAAAGGCCAAACAATGAGCGATGCCGATAAGGTAGAGACTCCAACGGGGTCTAAATGCAAATTGTGCGAGAAAGACTTGGCGATCTCCACAACTTACAAAACGAAATGCGGTCATGACTTCCATAAGACTTGCATAACTAGTCATTCGAAGACTCATAGAGAATGTCCGATTTGCGGAATCATTTGTTTTCAACTCCCACCGAGTGGTAAAACGATTGTCAATTCGCCAGCCCCCTCTGGGAAAACCGGCGAAAATCGCGCTGAGGTAGACATAGGGAATTTAGTGACTCAAGCGGTCCAGGGGATGAAAAATGATTTACTCACTCAACTTTCTCAGCAAATGGCTCAGATTATACAAGCTAATATTGCTGCATTGGTTCCTGGGAATCCCTTAGCACCCCCAAACCCAAGCACAAACACCAACTGGACGGATCAAGAGAGACAGCCAGTCGAAAATTTTGATCAATTCCGGAGTGAGTCCAGATTTACTCCTGTCAGCGTAGAATCCGATGCCATTTATAGACCAGATAGGGTGGGCCAAATATTAAATAGTTGGAAAATTCGTTTCAATGGCAGTCTTGATGGCATAAGCGTGGACAATTTTATATATCGAGTTGAGGCGTTAACAGAGCAAACATTAAATTCAAAGTTTGAAATTTTAGCTAGCAATGCTAGCCTATTGTTTGATGGTAAAGCTCGCGATTTCTATTGGCGATATCATAAATCCTGCAATGGAGAGGGGCTCGATTGGAAAGCTCTCTGCCAAGCTCTTCGAAAACAATTTCGGGATACCCGCTCCGATGTCGATATCCGTGAAGCAATTCGGGATAGAAAACAAAAAGAGAAGGAAAATTTTGATACTTTTCATGAGGCCATTGTCTCATTAACGGATGGGTTAGAAGTGCCGCTCTCGGAAAAGTCCGTGGCAGAAATACTAGCTAGGAATTTGCGCCCTGAGATACGACATGAACTCCTTCATATCCAAATTAATTCGGTGGGGCAATTGAGAGAAATTTGTAGGCGAAGGGAAAGTTTTCTGGAGGATGTGAGGCGGAATTATGCATATACAAAGGCAACTCCTTACCGGAAGCAAGTGGCTGAACTGCTTGAAGATCCGTTGCCAGATGAAGCCGCCGAATTTTCCGACATCGAAAGCGAAGTGGAAGTGGGAGCTTTGGCTTTGATTTGTTGGAACTGCCACAAAGAAGGGCATCGTTACCAAGATTGTGAAGGGAAGCGTAGAATTTTCTGCTATAGTTGTGGAAAGCCGAACACTTACAAACCTTCGTGTAGTAAGTGTCAAAAAAACGCGAAGGGGTACACACAGCCTCGTCAGCGGCCGTGTGTTCAACGCCACCGCCCGACGAATTCCGAGGCAGAACAATAGACATTGAAAATACTTCTGTAGAAATAGAAAATCCCAAATCTTCAGTACCAAATTCAGTTCAAAAATCTTTTTGGTCGAAGAAAATAAATTTACAAATAAATTCATCTAAAATACGAGGTATCTTAAGGCCAGGGTACGCCGGAAGGTGGGAAATGCTTACTATGACCTGGAAGACTTGCAGGGACGATTAATGGGTAGATATCATGCTAAGGATATGAAACAGAAATGTAGCTGCCTCAAGCTCAGTCTTGGTCAGCCTTGTGTGTTTCACCCCCAAGTCTGATCTTGTGAGGGGGGAATTTGTAACGCTTGTGGCAGGTAAATCGATGGGCAGCGCCATCTGTGAGGCAAAAACCGAAAGTGTCGCCATCTAGTGGTCAGTTGGGTGCCGCGATTGGGGTAAGAATTTTCGGAGACGAAGAGGCAACAGCGTCAATTGTCATGATCCCGGAAAACGGAGAGTTATTCTAGGGGGGCTAACTTAGCTTCCCGCCCAGAGCCACGAGCTGCTGGCTTTCTTTCCCTTTTCGGCAGCCATCGAGTGCGGTTTAGTTCAATTGTAAGTCTCGTATTTAATAAGTTGGTGAAAGTTTGTTTGAAAATTATATCTCTATAGTGGCCTTGTGTAAAGTGACGGATAGAATTCCCAGATTATATATAGCGCTGAATCCTGTTTATGGGTAAGAAAAAATGAAATGGTTGCGAAGTTTGCAGACCCAAAAGTGATTTTTGATTTAGGTTTGGCGCTTAGTATCCGATATTGGATCCGGCCGTTGCTGTAGAGGGAACAATTCATCAAGTCCCCCTAAAGAAGAGCGAAGTCATCCGACGGAGAAGGGAAATTATCGTCGCATAAAGGGGTCTCAAAGCCTAAGAGTTCCCTAAGATAATTATTTAATCAGCTTAAGTCGCTGGGAGCGGAGTTAGGACTAAGAGAGGGCAAAAGAGTCAAAAAGAACTCGAGATGTAACACCTGCCCAAATTACACATAATATTTATATTCCCTCTTCATCATCTTCGTTATCTCCCGTCTGCGAGCGCAACTTAGCGAAGTTCAGCTTGGCAGGCAGTTTTTCGGCGCGCTGATCTAGTTTAGACGTTTCGGTCCACGCTCGGACAAAAATTTAATTTAACTCGTCGAACAACAATGCGGAATAATTGTTAAGTCGCCGCACGGAATGTAAGGCAGTTCGGAAAGCCAAAGATCGGTCGGAATTCGCTGAAAGTGGATAGTTTATAAGCTATTTCATAAGTTTTTTTTCCTTTTTTTTTTGCGGTCTAGGTTATGTGAAATAAGCAGTGAGAGTGGAAAAGTAAGAAAAAAAAGAAGGGGGAAAGAAGAGAAAAGTGCAGTGATGGTTAGAAGGCCAGAAAGGCTTTAATAATGAATAACTAGAAGCACGAATTGCTTTAGGCATAATTTATTTTAATTTTTTTTGGGTGGACAAACAAGCCAATGTGTTAAAAAAAAAAAAGAAGGAAAGAGCTGCAGCAAGAAAAAGAAGAGAAAAATTTTGCTGTTGTTTTGCACAGTGGGCTTGCAATGTGTATATAAAGAAATTTAAATTTTCAGCCTAAGGTGCACTTACGGAAGCGCTTTCGTCGGTGGATCTCCGGAATGTTGGTGAGTCAGATATCACGTTTTATCAATATGTCTTTGTAAAATATATATATCAAATGAATTACTTTGCGTCCCACCGTACAAAACTGAGTAGTTCGAATAATCCATAAAGGAGAAGATAAAAAAAAGGAGCGGATTTACCGTCTCTCTTGTCTCTCAAATTTTTGAGTGAGATGAATTTCGAAATAAGTAAAACAAACCACTCAATTTGAATTCGCCGTGCGCTCTTCACTGCAATTTTCTGCCATTTCCGTATTCTCGCTCTCGAATAATATTTTTTTGGGTTTTATTTCGTATTATATCTTACTGCGAAGGTTAATTTAATAATTCAATTGTATTGCATGTATCTATGTTCTCATTTAATATCTTTTCAATATGTTCTCTAATTTTAAGAATTTTATTTAGGTTTTAAATACATTTTATAATGATTAGCTAAATTGCATTTTTGTTTGCCTTCGACTAGGATGAGTCCCCGCTAGAACCCGAATCAGTAGAAGGGGCCGTTCGATAATATGATGGGAAGTTTTCGGTAAAGAACGGCCAAGGCAGGGAGGGCAAATTTGGTTCCATTAGAACACCCGAGGAACTTTAGGAATTCCATGAGTAAAATAACTATCCCTCTTCGTGCTGGCGCGGATTCACATGATTTCTCCTACCCCATACCACTTGTCGCTGCACGCGAAAATTCGATAAAATTTTAGAATTTACTGGCTCGTGACGAAGGACAAGATCACCACCCCAAATAGCCGACAAGGAGCAGCTGGACCATCGCGCGTGCGTCCTTATCGTCATGCAACAACACCCTAGCCACGTACTCGTTACAGAAGTGCCAACACTCCGAGTGGGAAAACACTTTAGCACTGCCAAATGGCTGCCAAGATGGCAGCGGGGAAATAAATGTTGAAATAATATGCTTTATTGTATTGCCAGGCGTTGCCATGAATTTCGCATCGCTTTTATATGGCTATTTATTTTTATTAGGCCCGACCAAGTCGCAGGGGGTGTGTGTGTGTGTGTGTGTGTGTGTGTATGTCTGTGTGTGAACAGGTGCTGGCGTGCCAAGACACGGCCATGCCAAAATACACCCAGACACCCAGTTCTTGGCCCAACTCTCACCAAGTCGAGTGTGTTTACAGAGGCGCCAGCAAAGGCAATATCCCAGGATGCCATTCCAATGGCCAGGACCAACATTGGAAATTGCCCGAAACAAGTTGTGGACAAACAGATACACAATTGGTTAAACTTGGCCAAAATAAATACGGAAAAACATTTGTACAAATGAAATAAAATGCTAATACCAGCAGTCGCAAATATATTTTGCCACAAAGTGCAACAATAATAAATTGTACGGATGCGGAAGGAGGTGGATCTGCAAGAAAAACAAGTTCTCGAATGTCCTTTTCGCTTTGACGTATTAGGGTGAACTATACATATCAAAAATAAAAAATAATTTTAAGTATATTGTTGTCTTATGAGGTCTGTTCGAGATGTTTTCTTTAATATTAAACTGAGATTTATATGCTGTTTTACAGCAAAACCACTTTTATGAAAATCTTTTCGTACTTCTTAAGCAAAATACAGAGTAACAGTGTCAACAGGATAACGACAATGGCAAGGATGGCAACCCAAAAATTGTTGCCGCACGCTCGCACACACAGAATGCAGTAAACATAAACTGCGAGTGCAGTGACCACGACCACAACAACCAGAACGCCCATCGACGGAGCCCATTTGGTGCTAATAGCTTAGTTTTCTCCTCGGCCTTTCTACCCCCCAGGCTAGTCTTCCCTAATTTTGTATTGTTTTCCATGCTTATTTTTTGCTCTGTATTATTGCTAGCCGTGGCAACGACGTGGGGCCAAGTTCAAAACTTTCTGAGCCCCAGTCCGCCGCACTTTTCGTTTCGTTTCGCTCCGCTCCATGGTCCATGCACACACATCTCTTTTCTCTGTTTTTTTGGTACCCCAACACCCCCCGGCCATTCATCGGTCATGCAGCTCACGTAGCCACGAATATAAACCAAAACCGAAACCAAAAACTAAAACTAAAACACAAGCAAACCAAACCAAACCAAACCGAGCCGAACAACAACCGAAAACAACAAGCAAGAAGTTTTTCTCGAAGGATGAAAAGGTGCCAGGCGGCAGTGGCAATTGTGCTATTTAATTAAAACTACATTTTGGGTCTTGAGAGGCAGTCGAACTCCAGCTCGGACACTTGATGCACCGAAAGGGGGGGGTCAGAAGAAAAGAGACCCCAAATCATTTGGGGCTCTGACCGGGTCAGAGTCGTAAAAATGATGGCAAGTGCCCCGAACGAACCTCTTTAATTCGCCCTTTTCACATAATTTACGCTTTCAATAATTCACACGCCGCCAACGCAGCATCACGCGTAAATTGCGGAATTGCGGCCAAAACACGGCCAGGAAATTAAAAGTACAACACGGCTCGGGAGCCAAGGAGGGCGGCGAAAGGATTGCTCTGACAGCTTTACTAATTGGTTTGTTTTACTCGTGACTCTAATTAAAAAATTTACTTTACGACTCCGGAACGCCGAGGAAAACGAGCGGACGTAATGACGGTACAACGGCGGCGTGCAGAATTATTTTTTGGAAGCTCAGGCCAAAACAAACAGAGCAGCTAAAGCAAAAAAACAAAAAAGGGGGGAAATAAATAAAAAATTAAATGAAGAAGGACCGGAAAAGGCAAGACAAGATGCTGCAGTCGCCGGAAGTGGCCACCGAAATGTATGAAAAAACCTCAATAATGGCGGCGTAAATTGGCAGCTGAAACCGTTGGCCAGCCACCATCCCATCGCATTCCCTTAGCCCCTCACTTCTAAACCCATCCCCCTGGCATTGACATCATCTCTTCGGCGGCAACATGTTCACGTTGGTCTTATCGCGCCACAAATCTGTGACCAGAAGCTGGGCTTGGTGCCAAAATGCGCCACCTAATGCCACACATTTAATTAGGGAGAAACTGGGAAGTTGAGCAAAAAAAAAAAATATATAACGCCAACCATTTTCCCGGTTCAAGCATAATTTTTTTCCATCATTTAGATGGAGATTATCGGGGCGCAAAACGAAAGATGCGCAATAATCGGACAGAAAAAAGGAGCCGAGAAAAATGGATAATTGTGGAAATATCGCTGTTTGTATTTTAATTAAACGCTCGACTTTAAAGAATATGTATAAGTGTCATGAGGAAACTTTCTACTCGAAACTAAAATATGCAGCATAAGGACGGTAAGTTTTTTCTTCGCCGCAACAACCATATCATAGTCGTGTGAACTCGAGTTAAATGCAATCAAAGCAAAGACTAACCACCCGGTCTGCCGCCGCTCTAAAGAGCTAATTTATCGGGGATTGTGAAGCGTTTTCCTATATTTTTCTATGTTTTTTTTGCCCCAACAAGTTGCTTGAAGTTTCCGGCTCGGAGGAGGGCATAAAAATAACATGGCACAGAGAAAGAAGGGATAATTCTGTTCAATGATTGCAATTTCAAGCTGCGCGTACTCTCGAGAAATCAAGCAAACATTTCGAGTATTTCGGTTCGATTAGTTTTTTCCGGCTATCCAGCAGGCCGCAGAGGTCAGCGGAGAATAGTGGATGTCCGGATATCTGACCAGGTGCATGGCCGGGGTTTTCCCATGTCTGGGTTCGAGCTAGAGTTAGAGTTAATGTCCGTGTCTGCGTCTCTGTTTATCTATCCTTTTTCGGTGCACAAATTGGAAAAGTTCCGCGCGGCACTCACAAAACAAATGCGCCAGAGCAAAAAAAAAAAAAAAAAGAAAGCAAACTCCATTTCCCATCAATATTAATTTTCAGCTCGATTCACTCGTGTTTAAATTCCGAACGGGCTGAAAGCTTCTTTAATTTCGCTTAAATTAGTCTTCAATTTGTCATCGCTGGCTGGTTGAAAGCGGATTTCAAAATCGATAACTGTGGGTGCGTTGGGGAAAAATTACTTCTACATTTACGTGTGCTTGTTCGGGACATAATGTGTGCCATAATCATCTCAAAGGACACACGCATATTAAATACATTTCCCGGGAACGTTACATTTTGGGTTTTTTCATTTTTGGCCCCCCAAGGAGACAATTTCAGTTTGTTTCCTTTAAACAGACAGTTTTGTTAAAATCAAGTACAAAGTGGCGGGCGTGGCAGGGCTCATATGTACGCCTTCCTGAGAGTTCGCCATCAAAACGACAAATAACCAAAACACACATGTGGGTGCGCGAGTATATTCTTCAGCTGTATGAATAAATGAAGAAGCCGCGCAAAATGAGAATCCTGAGACATTTTTCCATCACAGTTGATATTTAAATCTGAATATAGCCGAAATTCATTTACTTATTGACATAATTTAGGATTGCACACTTCGGGTGGGGGGTGAAAGGGGGCGGCAGTTGCGACTGATGATAAGACGGAATTTGTGTCTTAGAGGAGGAAAATGGGGAGGAGACAAAGCCAGCAAAACAAGGAAAAATCAAAGCTGGAAGTTGTCACACCCCTGGGACCTTGGCGGTGGTATTTTTATTATCGGCCCATAGATAGCAACAGAGCCACCCAACCAAAACCGAATTGAGATGCTAAGCACTGCGCTGAGATTTTCCATTTCGTGGGGGGGAAGG